ATATGCTTTCTATATCCTTTTAAATTCTGTAAAATCTGTGGTAATGTCTCCTAGATCTTAATATTGCAATTTTAAAAATGTACAGCTGATATTGTGTAACAGGAAGAAAAGGTCTAAAAGAGCAGGGGAATTGGGAGGGGTAGGGAAAGGGAAAAAAGGAAAAGGAAATAGTAAGAGAAGAGGAAAAAAATAGAAACAAGGTCTTTGTAAATAGGGAAGGGTGGAGGGGGTGAAGGGAGGGCAAGGGAAGGAGAAAAAAAATAAGAACCAAGAGACTCGTGTAATGGTACCAGATCCCAATGATGAATGTAACTGTATTTGATACCAAAAATGTGCCAATAAATTTAAAGGGGGAAAAAAATGATGGGTTTAAAAAAAAAATAAAATGGAGTATTACTCACCCATAAAGAATGAGAAAGTAGAGAAATTTATAGCTAAATGGATGCATATTGAGGTGACACTCTAAAGTGAAATAAATAGGACACACGTGTAAATACTGAATCGTTTCTCTGGTATGAGAAACTGAAAGTGTAAATAAGGATGAAAATGTATAGTAGATAATGTGAAATAGGAAGAAAAGATGCAAAGGGGAAGTGGGAGAAATAGAGGAAAGGAAAGAAGGGAATGGAAATATGAGAAAAGGAAAAAATGGACACAGTCTTTGTCAACAGGGAGGTTTGGAGGGGTTGCAAATTACACAGAGGGATGTACAGTATTATGCGCTAAATATCCCATTTCATAATCAGTGAGGGCACATTATTTTAACCAGCAAATAGTACTAGAAAATTTCAATACTCATTTGACAAGGAAAAACTACAAATTTATCCCCTGCCAAACATTATTCACAGACACACACACACCCATGCACACACAGTCACACATCAAATAAAAAAGAAATTATTTAACATTATGATGGCACATGGGCATAATTAATTTCATAAACTCACAATAATACAGGAGTCTTTATTCGTATCTATAAAACACAGCAATAAAGGAAAGTTTGATGAAGTCAAACATAAAAAATTATCAGCCCTTTGAAATTATCATAAATAAAATTAAAACAGAAATGATATCTGAAATGCATCTTTTCAAAACATATGGTGAGGATTGGTGTGATACTCCCAAACTACAAAAGTAAGGAACAAAGCAGTGACTTAATAAAAAAAGCAAAATTCTCAGAGAAATAAAAGTATGATTTATGTAAAGTAAAACATATTCAATCTTATCCACAAAAGAAAATATAAAATTAAAACAAAAACATTGCTCACCAAAGTTATACATTAAAACATGTGGAAAATATTTACTCTGATAAAGATGCTTATAGTTTATTTTTGCTGCTGTGTAAATTGGTATAATCCTTTTGGACTGAAAGTTTCAGTCATTGTAAAAACTGAACATGTCCATGTCCTTTGACTCAGTAATTACATGGCAAGAATCTCTCCTAGAAAATGACTAAAAAAATATGCACAGGTGTGTAAGAAATGTATCATTTCTAAAAGCAAAATATAACAGATAATTTATTTATTAAAAATTAAAAATCTGTCACTCACTAAATGGAACTTGTCCAGATATCAGTGAAACATAATGCAACCATTATAAAAGCTTGATATCTTTATAAATCGTCATATGGCCTAATCCTTGGAATAGTGTGTTAAGTAAAAGAAATTTCATGGAGTATTTTGTGTAATTTCTTAAATATGGTGTAAGAACTTGATTGAAGAGACTGCTTATATTTATTGTATCTACATAAAATAATAAAAATCGTAAGTGTGATTTATTTTAGGAAATGACTAGAGAACTTGTAGAGAATTACAGGAGCAAATATTACTTTTTGTAATCTTATTCTTTAATCATTTGTGAAGTGCTTTGGTAACCTGCTTTGAGAAAGGCAATTAAAACACAAATGTACTTATACTACTCCCTCATAAAAACCACACTAAGGTTCACATCAAACACGAAGAAACTTGGTTCCTTCATCTTTCCTTTTTTGCCCTGGTATTGTTTTTTCTTTGACAGTGTCTCCACTTTTTCTTGGCTATATCGTTGCTGTAGTCATGGCGATCCATTTCCTTGTTATGGTAGGAATCTGGGCTACTGTATTCATCAATTGTAAGTTATAACAGATAACTACATTGCAACGTTGTTAATCAAACAATTGTGTTGCATTACTTTGATTAGTATTCAAAAGAACAGAAACATAAACTGGAAATTAACATTCCTGTATCTTTGCTATTAGTCTAAAAATTTATCAATTGTTTTTGCTTGAAAAGTAAGTTATTAGCAATAATTACATAGTAATTTTAACAATTATAATTATTTTAATAGCATTTGTCATCCAAGGAGTTTCATTTCCTTCACTGGGTAAGTGAATTTTTTTAGTATTTTTTTAGCAAAATTTTTCATGTCTGTGTTTACTGGGATATAGCATGTACCCAATGGCATTAAAATACAGAAAACAAATAGTTGATCCTTGTCCATATTTCACTGTAGCTTTATATTTTTAAACAATGAAGCAGAACTTGTAAAGAGTAGAAAACCATTCATTTGGGCATCTGCCTTCCCATGAATGTGTAAAGATGGGCCTTTGGGTATGACTGCAATAGTGTAATTATTTGGAATTTTGGAATTTAATGGGAAAGGCAAATTACTTTTCTCGATTAAATCTGCTATTGTTTGGATGTGTACAAAATTAACAATATATCTCTATATATTTCTAGAGAGTTACTGTGGCCCATGTCCTAAAAATTGGATATGTTATAGAAACAGCTGCTACCAATTTTCTAATGAGAGCAAAAACTGGTACCAGAGCAAAGCTTCTTGTCAATCTCAAAACTCCAGCCTTCTGAAGATCTACAGTAAAGTGGACCAGGTGGAGCATCTGCTTTATTTCTCATTTTATTTATTTATTTATTTATTTATTTATTTATTTATTTATTTATTTATTGGTACTGGGGATCGAATTCGGGTCCTTGTGCTTGCAAAGCAGGCAGCGAAACCACTGAGCTAAATCCCCATCAACTTCTCCTTTATTAAATCTTAGCACATGCATTAGTTCACTGGAACATGAGCCTGGAACATAAAGAAGACACTAAGACCTAGACCTTCTTCAGATGCTCACCCCAAGTCTTTCTGTGCTAAAATTAAGATACTTCGTATATTGTGTATGTGTTGCTTAAGTGGGAGAAATAGGACAAAATACATTTTCCCTCAATGTCAAACAGAAGAGATGAAGTGCCCATTGCTTTCCCTTTATTTTCTGAGCACTGATCTTATTTGTACTTATTTGTGGTTCAAACAGGATTTCTTTAAATTCATGAAGTCATACCATTGGATGGGACTAGAACAAATTCCAGAGAACAGATCCTGGCATTGGGAAGATGTCTCAGTTCTCTCACCAGATCAGTAAGTCTCTGGCCCACTAGATCTCTAGCTGTGGATCTGCTTTCAAATTATCCCTGTGTTTGTTCATCAATCACATCTCCTTTTCCCCAGTCCCAAGCATTCCCATATTCTAATAGATTTAGAAAAAATACTTAAGCTATAAATTTAGGAGATGTGCTACAGAACAGTCAATATGAATAATACATGAATGAGTAGCATACATTGTTTACTATGTGCTAAGTGGTGGACAAGATGGATCTAGTAGTATGAGGATTTACAGATAAGAGGCTGCAGCTGGATTACAAATATTTTCATATTTATTACTAAATGTATTGAGATATAATTGACATACAAGAAACTGAACATATATAACGTGTGCAAATGGGTAAGTTTTTACAAATGTATACACTCAGGAAACCACTTCAAACACCAGAATAATACAAGTATCTACCATCTGCAAAACCTTTTTTTTGAACCTCTGCAATCTCTTCCTTGTGCCCCTCCCTATGAACTTGTTCCTGTTTCTGGGCAACTAATCTGCTTCCTGCTACTATAGATCAGTATGCAACTTTAAAGGACTTAATATCATTGAAGTCCTACAATGTATACTGGTTTTATTTTTGGTTTTACACTTACCTATTTATTTTTAGATTTAGTCATCTCAAAACATGAATAGTGTTAATTTATTTTTATTCACGAGAGACATTCCATTATGAATGTAGCACAACCTGGTTGTCCATTTATTATGTTAGTCATATAACTCCAAAATCTAAAGATCCCAGAGTAAAATATAGATAGATAGACAGACAGACAGATGAGAGAGACATATATATATATATACATGTATATATATATATGTGTGTATATATATATATCTTTCATGGACTACACACACAAAGAGCACTACACACAAACATGTACATGCTTGTTCACACACACATATGGATTTTAAAATTTATTTTCAAGTCTTTATCGAGTAAAATTGTGTACACAGTCATTTGTTGGTATCCTTGGGGTATTGGTTTCCAGACTCCTCCCCACTCTGCATGGGTACTCATATCATTCCATGGGTGCTTAAGTCTCCTACATAGTGTTTGCACATACCCTAACACATCCTCCTGTGTATTTTAAATCACTATTAGATACTCATAGCACCTACTGAAATATGTGCATACTAATGTTATGTAAGCAGCTGTTACACAGTATTGTTTAGCAAATTACAAAAACGTAAGTATCCAATATATATGGAGTGATTTTTTTTCCCTTAATCTTGCTATCTATGGCTAGTTGAATACACAGATGCAGAGCCTGTGATTCAGCAGGCTGACTATACATGAAGAATATTTTTTATTTTTGCACAAAACTCTGTAACTGATGAATTGTAAAGTGAATTTTAAATTCACCTGTATTGAAAATATTTGTTTTTAACTAAACAATTCAGAGCTTGAATTTTCTGAGGTACAAATATGAAGAACTTCAGACTTCAGAATTGCATAATTTCCAGTGTATGAAGAAAATAGTGGCACATAATTTACAAAAGAATACAAGTTTTATTTGCATTTTCTGAGTTGTTATATTTTTCAAGTCTATGAATTAGGAAGGCCAGGCATGGACATAAAGTCTCCTGAAATATCATTTAGGTTCTTATATTTGAAACCCTAGAAGTACTATTTCATTTTTATATTCCTGCATTAATAAAGCCATGGAAGTAATTGTAATTCTCTCTCTCCAGACTCTCAATGGTGGAAATGCAGAATGGAACCTGTGCTGTCTATGCCTCAAGCTTTAAAGGCTACACAGAAAACTGTTCAACTCCAAACACATACATCTGCATGCAGCAGCCTATATGAGGGCTTAGTCTACCAGCTTAGCAAAATCCAGTAATAGAGGTCACAACATGAACCCAAAGCGATTATTCTGGAGATCTGGTGGAATTAGCTTTCCTAGGTCATGGACTTGCTGGCTACTCATTCTCTTTCTGCTTTGTTATTTCTCTCTCTTGGGGTGGAGATGTCTATCCAGTGCCTCTCACACCATGTATTTTAAAATCGTATGGCTTGTTTCATTTGACAAGTTCACAATTTGAGACCATTTTTGCCTCTCTTACCCATATCTGATTATATTTTGATGAAACTTTGGACTTAAAATGCTAAAGAGCTGATCCTGGAAAGAATCAAGACTGCTGGGATCATAATGATGTATTTTTCCCTGTGAGAAGGATATGAATTCAGGGGTCAGTGGTAAAATGTTACAGACTGAAAGCTTGTATTCCTCCAAAATTTATATTTGAAACCTTAACTCCAAATATTATGACACTAAGAGGTGGGGCTTTTGAAGGTGGTTTTGGTCAAGAGGATAAAGCCAACATGAGCGAGACTGACACCATAAAAACAAAACGCCAGTGATTTCTCTAGCCACCTAGTTGGTCCGAAGGTTGTAGGTTATTGTTAAACTGATTTCTCTAGCCATCTTGTATTCAAGTATTCGAGTCTAGAACCCATGAGAGGTTAAAAATCTATCTTTTACAAAAGAGTTTATCTATAGTAATATTCTAACTCTTAAAAATAAATAAAATGTACACAAAAACTCTACGGTGTCTGCTTTTGTTTGGGGATTAATGATAGTTTGTATTTCCAGGCAGTAAACCATAAATCAAGGTCCCAACTCTCAAGACCCCTATTCTGCCTTATCTGTTCCATATTTGAAAATCTCACTGATAAGGTGACTCTACTGAGAATGAAAAAGAGAAATGAATATCTGCATTAGCTGGATGAAATAACCTGGTAAATAATTAGCATATTGATAACAAAAGGAATATAGAGCCCTGGAAGCCATGTTCAAAGGACTTCAAGGGAATGAATGGACAGTTGTGTTGAAAGAAACTTTTAAGGCTAATGTAAATGGGACACTGAAGTGTGGAATGAGTCTATTGCTGATCTGCATGTGCAAGTTCACTGGGAGGGACAGAAATTGGGAAATGACGAGAGGGAAGAATACATGTCTGAATGTGGTGATTTGAGAAGTTGTTCAAATCCAGATTCAGCAAAAAAGAACGTTTTTATAGATCAGCAGACTCTCGTAAATTTTGATTTGGAAACAGCACATCCACCATCTCTGATGTGCAGTACATCTTTTGCTAAATGATATTCAAGAATTTGACTTCAGTGAGAAAACCAGCAAAGTTGGAGGACTGATATTGAAAGGAAGAACATGTTCAAATGGGAAGGGGAACTTGGAAGGGAAGAGGGAGAAGGGAAGGAAGGGAAAAGGAAAACAGGAGAATGGAAGGAACAAAATGGAAACAAAACTTGTGTAAATAGGGAGGGGAGGAAGGGTTGAAAGGAAGGGAGGCGAATGGGAAAAAAAGAATAAGATATATTATTTACAGGTATAAATTCCCTATGATGGATGTGATCCATATGTATGAAAAATATGTACTAATGAAAAATAAAGTAAAAAAAGTAACTGAGGCATAAGAAGGAAAGAAAAATGAAGACGGCTAGTGCTAACATCAAAGAAATAAAAATAGTCCTGTCAATTTCTGGGATTTTTCTTTCGTTTTTACTTTGAAATGAGTATCGACTGACAAAAAGTTTTAACAATAGTATAAGGGGCCCTCTTGTACTATGTACTTCATTTTCTCCACTGCTGATATTTCAAGTAACTAGAGAAGAATATCAAACCAAGGAAATGACTTTGGTATAATCTATAAACCTTATTCAAAAAAAAATTTTTTTTTTGTACCAGGTATCAAACTTGGGCCCTTGTGATTGCAAGGCAAGTGACACCTTATTCAAATTTTATTAGCTTCACATGCATTCATTTTCTTGTGTATGTTTATGTGCATGTATCTATGTAATTATATGCAATTTGATCATGTTTCATTTTGTATAATTGTCACTACTTTGCCTGTGTTTATATTTTAAAAATAATTATCACCAACTGTTTTGTTACTCTGACATATGGTTAATTTAAGAAAAACAATAAATATTGAAACATTTACTTTGTTTGCCAATTTTCATATTAATGATTTGGTTTAGGAGGGGAATTTTTTGACACATTACAGAACAATGCTAGTGCTTGAGTCAGATGTCTCATTTCAGTACATGTGTGCATGTATTTTAATGAAGTATTTTAATGCTCAGCTATTTTACTAATGCAGAAGTTTATTAGTGCATTAGAAAGTCTGTGTCCGATACGATTTAATGCAAAGAAGATCACACAAATATACCTCACATTAGGAAGTCATTTAATTCTGCATGTAGTTCAGGAATAGCTTACTGAGACTCAATTCAAAGAAATAACAATGTGCAAGTTTTGAAATATGTAGATCTTTCTAAGCATTTCACACTTCTTTATAACTACTTCAGAAATTAATGTTGTCTACACAGGAAAAGAAGTGTCCAAATAAAGATGACAATGTGTGATATATAATTTGAACAAATCATTGCCATTCTCCTTGATTTTTAGAGTAAGAAGAGATATATGAAGCCAGTATGGAGAAAACATTTCATTTGGTTCAACATTTCTTAACTTCAGCCCATAATATACACCTATTCTAAATAGCATGTTCCTAAATGTATCACATGGGATCTAAGTGAGGTGCAGGAGCCTCATGAAAGAGCTGCAAAGAGCTCAGCTGCAGCTGTGGCTTGCCACCTGTTATGTAGCTGCAGATAGCTTCTCTGTGGTGAGCTGTTGGGTAGGCCTTTGGTTCCCCTTCTGACATAACACACCAAAGCTGGCAGGTTGGCCTGTTCTCCAAGTCAAAAGCCCAAGTAGTTTCACCAAGTGTCTGAAATGGTAGAGCCTCTTTCTTGGTCTCTAGGCAAAATGTCTACCTTGTAAAGCTCCAAGATCATTATCTGCTGATGAAACTTGGGCAAAAAAGAAAAAAGGATATGAGAATTTATAAAAGGGTTCCCTAACTAAGGAGAATAAGAACTATCAGTACTCAAACAGGAGATTAGGAATCAGATAAGTAAAGATCTGTCATTTAAAGAACCCTATATTCTTTAACTGTGACCAAATTTTAATTCAGTGAGCGTTAAAAAAATGTATACATTTAAAGCTGCAGTAGACTAATAAATCTGAGAAAAAACAGTCATATAGAGGACCCTTTTAAAGATTTTGTATTTTATCCTCTAATTCTTTTTTTTTGGTGATCTTTGGGTATTGAACTCAGGACCTTGTGCTTGCAAGGCAGGTGGCAGAACCACTGAGCTAAATCCCCGGCCTTTCTAATTCTTTAATAATGAAGTTGTGTTTACTTGATTATACTTAATAATTATATATAAACAGCTAACATCTTTTATGTTTTTGACTATTTTGCAAACTTTATCTCTGATATTGATAGCTTTATTTCTTAAGTTTCATAGTTAAAGACACAGAGCATTATCCAGGGAATATACTCAAAGTCAGCTAAGCTGAGATTGGCTGAGCTGAGCCTTTCTAAATTTCTTTCCCTCTAATCAAACTGTGGATGCCCATTTTATGTAATTGTAAGAAAAATATTTTATTGTCTTATTTACCCTGGGAAATTTAATCCTTATTTAAATCTATATGTAAATAACTACACACATTTTTGATACATATTATATGATAATGTATATTTGCACAAATGTGTGTGTATGCTTATATGTGCATGCAAACCCACTTAATTAATTTTTCTTATTAAAAATCTTATTAAAGTAAAATTTCTTCAAAGTAAAAGTCATATTGAGGCAGATAAATTGACGTGTAATCATAATTTTGAATAAACTAGTAATGGTCTTTAAAATTCTAGTCAACTTTTGGTCATATGCTTTAGTGTCTGTCTTCCCTGTTTTATGCCTCTGTCTTCTAAACAATAATTTAATTTTTAAAATGTAAGCATTCATTATATTTTGTGATCATACCTCAGACATGCTCAGCCTTTTTTTTTTTTAATTTTAGCTTTTTGTTTTGGGATAGGGTCTTGTAAAGTCACTAAATTACTTGGGCTGTCCTTGAACTTAGAGAGAAAGCTGGGTCTTGGCTGGTCTAAGCTGCTCTGGGCAACAAAGATCAAGATGCACCAAATTCATCCAGTGTTTGTTCATTACTAGGGGGGAAGAAAGGGAGGCAGGGTACGCTTTGGGATGTCTGGTGATAATGACAATTGCAGGCAGGGCTTTAAAAAGGCACTAGCATATCTTGCTGAAGAGAACAAATGGGTATTTCAGAGGGAAAGAACTGGAGCTGAGTTGACCTTGGCTGGAAGTTAACTCAGCAGGGCCCTGCTACTTTACGGACTAGGACTTAAGTCTCAGTAGCAGCCATTAGAGGAGAAGCTATACTTGCCCAACTCTGCTACCTGACATTTCCATTTGAGTCACATAAAACTTCGATCAGACCTCTAATGTAATACAGCCGAATCATGGAGGGGCAAGAAGCTTGTGCTGCATATAGCCTATTACCGGTTAGGAATGTCTGCTACAAACCTGGCCCACAGTTTCGATCAGACCTCCGTCACCAGCTCAGTAAACTGTGAGTATAAATGCATGGGTGACACATCACACTGTACACTACAGAGTATCTCCAACCACACAGTCACTGCCCCTCAGAATAACAGTTCACACCTATACTAAGCCTTAAGGTGGCCACAAAAGCTGATGAAGTAGAGAGTAATGGGCAGAGGGAATGCCATGTCTGATGAAAAAGAAGCTATTGCAGAAGGTATTGAGAGTCTAACAGCAGTGTGCTTGACCAACAAGCAGTGGACATAATGTAGGGAGGAAAGAAGGGGATCAAAAGGGAGGCTTACAAGTGTGGAGCTGGCTGATCACTAACTCTTTCACTGCAGCATTTGTCTTATCATTCCGGCAAGTGTGACCACAGGAAAAACACTAAATTCTAAAATTTGGGAAGATGTGCTGTAACAAAAACAGATACAACAGTAACTTTAAAAAATTTCCATTGACGAATAGATACACCTACTCTCTTTCCTGGATGTATGTGCTTAACACTCGGAAGA